TAGATCATTATCACATGCAATATTTGCAGTTTATTATAGAAGCCAAAGGTTATTGCATTCAAATGGCTTGTTTTTAAAAAATGGAAATTACCCATTTTTCCAGATAATGATTTCTGATTGCAATGGGGTATTGTACTGCACAAGCAACATGGTGGGGTTACAGTTAGTGCTACAGCCTAACGGCTCATGAGTCCTGGGTTCCAGGCTTTGGGACTTTATACAGTATGGAGAATGTGCATGTTCTCTCTTTGCTTGCATGGGCTCTAACTTTCGTCCTAAATTTGAAAGACGTGTTTTGCTAGGTCCGTTTCTCTAAATTGTCCCTGTTTGAGCCCTGTGATGTACTAATGTTGTTTTCTGCTGAAAGATGGATGTGCTATACGCAGTAATATTTTATTATAAATAGCATATTTGTTCATGCTAAGTCTAATGTTCATATTTGTTTCCACAACTAATAACACTATTGTGCAGAATCCTGTACAAAGAAGTTCTATATTCAAGCTTCTCCGGAGCTCCAGTTGACATTAGGTCCCCATGGAATCACCAGTTTTAATGACTTTGCTGTGATCAATTCCACATGCAGTTTGAAAATGAAGAATTTTGAGATAATCTGGAACCAAACTCCTGAGTACTTTTCAATCCCACAAAGATTTGAGTTCTCTTAAGCAGTTTACTTGCTCACTGATAGAAGAACTAACATAAATTAAGACTAACTGTACTGGGGCTCTCCAGGCTCTCCCCTACAAAGATTCTTTTGGCAGTTCCAAGCAGCCAGCAGAATGCTTAAAAGTAGATGCATGACATGTGTACTTTATAGTTCAGGTGGGTAGCTGCGTCAACATGCATAGGCTGCAAAGGAACAAGTAATAGGTTTATTCCATGCTGAAAAGAGAAGAAAGAAAACAACATTTAGGTCGTGGAACTTTCTTCAGGTGTGAAGGTGTTCATGTGTACTTTATATGTTTGCATTGACGAAATCAGTATGGACTTTTTAGAGTGCACTACAGGACTGAGTACCGTACAGTACATGGCAATAACAGAAAAATAATTCCTTGCATCCCAGGCTTATATTTTGGTAAAAAAAAAAATCACATGTATTACTTATTTATGTGTTTTTACTGATTATACTTCCTGGTTTGTAGAGAACTGTGGCCTCTATTTATGATTCCTTGCCACCTACTAAATGTGTTTCTCTTAGTTTTGGCTGTGAGCAGAACAGAAAAGAGATTCAATGGTGCAGTAGTTCCTTAGGGGTACATAACATGGTGTTTATTGCAGTAACAGTGATAAGAAAATGACTTCTCACAGGGCATGCATCCTCTGCATAGGAAATCAGACTGTTTAAAGTGACAGTGATGGTTTTGTTACCCAAATGTTTAGTGTTTGGAATTTGAACAGAGAAAAGAATCCAAGTGATAGGATGCCATTCTGCTTATTTTGCTTGCTTGTTTGCTTTCTAGTAGGTTTTTGATTCAAGAATCCCATGTACTGTACCATGTTAGTAAAGAGCCAGCAGCATCTGTTTCCAACTGAAGTAATGGGCAGGTTTGTCCAACACATCACACATTATTTAAAGAAATGTGCACTTTTCTGGGGGTTATACACACTACAACACTGTACATGAATACAATACATTCCTCATCACCATTCACGCCTCTTCTTTTCTGTGCTGTGATACCTTATTTCTGTTTTCTCAACAGTGGTTTAACTGAAGACAAGTGCATTTAGGAGCTTTTTTAATTATAAAGATAAATTGATTTTTTTTAAAGGATACAGTAAATACACTACGTACAGCACCACTTTATGCACTCAGAAAATAATCTAAAATATATACATTCCAATCCTTAAAAATTATAGTGTTTTGCATGGAAATTGTCAATTGACAACAGAGGAACAAAGTAGTACTGTAAGTAACTAAAACTCTCTTATTCCAATAGAGGGTACCATACAACTAACAATAAAAACATCATATACAGTATGTGCTTATTATATATCCCAGGCTCTAAAAAATGGATCCTTAATGTGTATTTGATTGAACATTTACTAAATTATTGACAAAGAAAAATAGTATTTCTCTAATTCTGTTTAAACCAGAGTATCTACAGTCTTTGTTGCAGCTTTCTTAATGACAATTTGACCATTAACATACTGTATATCAGGGTTTGAAAGTTTCAAACAGAGGTTACAGAAGTTTCACTCTCTGTAAATATTTTATATATCCACCTCTGCGTAAAACTGTTATTATGCAACTGTAAAAGGTGTGAAGTCAAATTATCCACTTCTTTTTTAAACCACTCATAGATAGCTGGCAAAAGTATTTTGGATGGTAGACTGCAGTATTCCACAAAGTTATAATAACAGTTTAGGGCGTCATAATTCTAGCACCAAACAAACGTTATATCTCAAATCACTTGTTAATGCTTAACAAACATCTTCTTAGGCAAAAATTAAGAATTTTGGAATAGATTACATATCTAATTCCCATTGCACTAAGCTGTATAAATGTTAAAATATTACAAGATGAGATGTAATGTTAGTACTCCTCAAATCTTGCATATTAGGTCAAATTTAGTAAAAAATCTAGGTAAACTACACATAATGGGTCCTGATTATCTTCCTTTCCTAATACTTCCAATTACACAATTCCCAGTATTTTCATTTTTGTGCATGTATAATTAGTGTAAGTGTTAAATGATTCCAAAGAAGAGAATTTAAATTCTGAAGAGAATATTTCTGCCCATGGCTTAATAATTCACAGAGCACTATACTGTATCATAACACTTTAAATACTAGCACTCGTCACCCTATTCTTACTATTAATATGCAGCACTTTTTGATGGTGTATTGCATTTTAGATGTTCAAAGCTTTTGAAAAGGCACATTGAAATTGTATCAAAGGGGTCTGTGCGCTCAGTGATGGTGTGCATAACATTTAAACTTTTAAACTGCTCTTAGAAATTGTCTGTTATTATAATTGTCAGTTTCATATTTTAAAATGAAACCAGTGATAACTAAGTCCAGTAAACAAACAACTAAGTGTGGATAAATAAAAAAAAAAACATGAAGCTTATATATTTTAAAACAAGTTACTTATAGTAAATGCATTTCTATTTGATGTGTATTTTCACAGATGAGTGAATTTCTCAGGTGAGGTGAAGACTTACACAGTCTCTGCCTGTGACAGACAGGTACATGTACAGTATGGTGGTGTGGTGGCTCTGTGGCTAAGGATCTGTGCCTGTGGCTGGATACTTGCCTGTTCATATCCCGCGGCCAGCAGAGTATTACTACTCTGTTGGGCCCCTGAGCAAGGCCCTGAACCCCAACTGATCCAGGGGTGACATATAAATGGTTGACCCTGCGTTCTGACCCCAAGCTTCTCTCCCTGTCTGTGTGTCTCATGGAGAGCAAGTTGGAGTATGCGAAAAGACAAATTCCTAATACAAGAAATTGTACATTCCCAATAAAGTGTTATTACATACTAATACAGCAATTTCTACTGTGTATTAAATTTTGGACATTTTCACAGTATATTCCTCAAAATATGAGACAGATATGCATATATATATATTACATTGTACAGAAAAAATATATGCTTCCAGGGTTCCAGGGTTATCTGTTAATTTAAATAAAAAATGGCTGAACTTTCACTAGATTTCAAAAGCAATCTGCATGTTGTTGCATTAAGTGGGTAAAAAATTGAGTGAAAACCTAAAAACCATATGGAATGTCTAAGACTTCCGCAGCTGTGTCACAAAGTTCTTTGGTAAAATAAAGACCACAAGACTTTGTGGCTCTCTGGGAAAAAGATCAAACCATGAGGGAAAGTAATACAACACTGATCAAGCCAGACTAGCCAGACTTTCTTAAATCTGTAGTGGAATCATGAATTTAAAGTTGGGTCAGACATTTACAAAACTCCTCATACAAGCCATTTATCAACTGCTTAATTGATCCAATTTGAAATACTGTAGCTTGAAAAAATGATGAAATCAAGGACTTTCCCTCCACCATGCCCAACTTAATATAAATAGGACAATAAACACCTGTTTCCCAGTGTTCACTGGTGCACATTGCTCACTCCACCCCACACTTGCATTGGCTTTGCAGCTCATTCCAGTTAGTGGAGGGGCTCTGATGATCTGATTGTTAAATTATTAAAAAATTATAAAGATGTATCTGTGGTAAACATTTCAGCCTATCCACTGTCATACTTGCTTTCGCAGACACGCTGGTCAGCGCACAAAAAGCACCACTGCCACCAGACAACCCTGCACTTGCACTTGCACTTGTTAACTCATAACTGTAACTACTAGAGCAGAGCGTAGACCTATTCCACCCACGTGCAGTTTACCAACACTCACCTTGTTAAATATCCTTGCAGATATTTTAAATCAGTGCAGTGCTCCCTGCTTCTCTTTTTTCAGGTCAAGATATTCACTTGCTCTCGTGATTGTTTTTTCCAGCTTTGTAACTTGCTTGCTTGACTTAGTTTTCTGTCCCCTATGTTTTGCCTGGTGACAAGTTTCGACCCGGCCTGTTTTAAGTATGCTCTGGACTGTCTTTCGTGCTTCTATACTGTACGTGTCCTGTTTCCATGACTTCTCTTATGGATCATCCTCTGTACTTTCCTTCTTCTTTTATCCAGCTTGAACCCTTGCTCACTTCGCTACAGTGAAGTGAGACTACCCCTTTGGATCATCCTTTTTGCTCTCCTTTCGGACTCCTGCCTGTGTGACTACAATTTCGGACTGTGTTATGGTTTCATTTCAGCCTGCCTGTGCACTGCCTGCCCAGCTTCTGCTCCTGAAAGTGGATTTGGCCTCCTGTCTCAAGACCACTGCATTTCATCAAGTGAGTGTTGCAGTACAACACTGTGAAGCTCAAAAAACACAAGTAACTGTAAAAGAGAGCCAAGATCACCATTACGTATCAGAAAATAAAGGAGGTTAAAGTTGATTGTCTATGAATTTTGAATAAGAAAATCACTGAATCCAAAATAGATTTAAACGTTTAATGTTTCATAGATGAGACAAAACACTAATAGCTGTACAAAAGAAGTAATACAGTAATACATTGAAAGTAAGTACTGTACTTGGGTGAAGTAATGTGCCGTGTCCACAGAATTCAACACATTTAATTTCTTCTTCTACCTGTCAGTATCAAAAAGATTTGGAATCCATAGCAAAGGATGCACTGTTGAGAAAGCAATAACTGAGTTCACTATTGTAATGTCTAGAAAGCTGTTGTGCACTTCTGACAGCTCAACTTCACAAAAACAGTTATAGAATTTTAACAACAAAAGTGTATACCTACACAGTTATGATACTACCTGAAAATGCACAGATGAACTGTGCTGGACCAGTTGCTTTATCAATAAAGACCTTCTAATGCTGTAATTATGCTGAGCACTTAAAAAACTTAATTATTTTTTCAGAAAAAAAACTGACAGCTGCCCAGCTTACTTGATAGTTTGAATAATAAATCATTAAACATTTATTCATAGGTATACAACAAAAGTCATTTTTGCCTTAGATCCTGTTCAATTACAAACAAGTTATGTATGTATTTTACAGGTTATATTACTATAATTGGGGCTGTCCATTTTGTGTGGAATGAAAATTAGAAAAAACTCAGAAGCAATCCATCATCAAATCTCTGAACATCTGAAGAATTTTCTTTCACATAGTGAAAAACATCAGGTTCTCTTTTTGCCCAGATTGGTCTGGAAAGCAAGTCCGATAGATTATGTCAAAGCTATTACAAAAGCTTTAAACACATTACATAATGTTGCCATCCAACAACATTTTATTTGTTTTTTACAATTTTTTGTTACATTCTTCCCAGTTCGATGTTTTACATTCCACCAAGCCTTGCTAGCTTGAAATGAGTCTTACTGAATTCGGATGCAACGCCACAGCAATGTGGTTCAGTTATTACGAGATTCTTATTCTGCTAGTGTTCACTCATTTTCTATGCAACAACCACTAGCCACTGAACAAAAAAGTCTATGCCATATTACATGCAAGCATGCAAGCAGTAGTGTAAACGGCTAATGTGAACAGATAAAGGAAGGGTATCTTGAGAACTAAACACAAGCCAATATGCCTTCAGACTCTTTTCTTTTACAAGGGTACACAGTATTTTCTGTGGCATTTACAAAATACTGCTACAGGTAAAATTAGGTTTTGTGGGTCTTTATTCCTCCATCCTCTCAGACATTCATTGAACTTTCAAAATGAATGTTGATCCACCCTAAAAATGTAGGATATCCCCCCAAAACTACAATTAATGCTTGCAACCTGTTCCCCTAAAACAGAGATTCAGACTTACAGTACACCTTGCATGGTAGGATAGATTATCTTCAGCCATATATTTGTGCAGTCCACAAATACATCCCACACACAGCACAGATGAAAAGGTGCATTTCACTCTCATCTCGGGATTCAATGTCATTCCATACAGATGTTCTTTTTTCAACATTGAGTGTTCTGTGAAACCTGCTGAGACAGATTTGCATCCTTGCCTTGCTCCTGAGCCACAAGCCTGTGGTTTTCTGTCATCTGTGGACTCTGTGGAAGGTCCTCCTGAACAGGTGAGCGGGCGTCGGTATCAGGAGTTTCTGGCAAAAAGTGATCTGCTGGCTCAAGGTGCTCATGATGGTGACGACATTTCTAAATTAAGTCAAAAATCAACAGAACAGTGTATAAGCAAATCAGTTTGGCACTTAATAGGATTACCATGTACCAAACACTATTTTCTGAAGCTGTTAACAGTATATACTGTAAGTGAATGATGCTCTGCGATTGCTCACTGAAAAATCCGAAATAATTACAGCAGTGTTGATCATTTTTTTATTTGTAAAGTTCAAAATACGCGTTTCTGGCTTTTCATTTAAGTGCTACTTGCATCTGCTAGTAGTATCTAATATTAAGCTTCTTAGACCAACTGTCATTTCTGTTATACGTGTATATTAGATTTGACTTTGTTTAGAACCAAACATATTATATTTACTTATTCTTGCATGCTTCCATAGCATCAGAAATATTTTACTTTGTCTACTAATATTAAGTAAACCAACTGAAAACTTATTATTCTTTTATGAAAATGTACAGGGCTTCTATATAATTTCTAGCTCAGTTTTTTGTACTTCTCTGGTATAGCTTTGGGTTTTTTATTTTTTCATTTTTTTTAAATACAGCATTGTTAAATACAGTATTTTGAAATAAAAAGTAGTAGAATTTGTTTAGGCTTAATATAAGTCAGTTGTATAATACCAATATAATATACAGTAAGTAAGTTGTATGGTACTGAAAACCATTGAAGTTAAAAGGCAACATTTGCATATTGACCTACAATATCCGGTAAGTTATCATTCCATTTTCTTGCCTCACATTTCTTTCCAAACTCATAAAGAAATAAAAAAGACTCTTACCGTTTCATATAACTTTCTTAGATGACCTGAAACAACATCAAAGAAGCAACAAAGAAAGATTGAGATAACACATCAATCAATTTAGATGTATTTTACTTTAATCAAAGGTATTTTGCGCATGTAACTTAAGTCACTTAAGGTGAAAACTGCCTATAGCTGGAGAGCTAAAAGCATTTTCAAACATCATATAATAGAGCACACTGCCATGCTTTCATTGTATGTTCCTGGTATTAAAGCTCATGAATGTTACGGCACTGATGTGGCCAATTAAGGTAGCACAAATTTAAACTCATCCAAAAAGTAAATTTTTGACATTGATACATAAAAATGAGACTTTAAAGGAGTTGTATATAAAGGTCAAATTTTCTATTTACTAAACTTAATTCTAAGTTTGTACTGTACAACATAGGAAATGTAGGTAATGAAGGACTCTCTACAATACAATGATTAAAGTTAATGAAGGTTAATGAAGAAGCAGGAGACATAAATCCAATTTACTGTAAGCTAAAGTTTTAACTAATATTTGCCATACAAAGGCCAAATGATAAAGAATACCTGCACTTCTGTTGTCATCAATTTCTATACTACTTTTAAAATGGTTGTCTATAGACCCAAAGTCATATAGTAACAGTAAGGGTTATTACCATTTTTTAGCAGATACACCATTATTGCTCCAGCAACAAGAAGTAATATAATTGGTATTATAATTGAAACAGCTCTTCTGTGACTCCAACCTAAAAGATACAGAGACAAAAGTGTCATGCATATCAATCTCAGCTTTACTGGATTCATTATTATTTTACTTTTTGTCAGAGTGTTTTTGAAGAATGTTCAAAATTACAATCACAGCAAAACTGGTAGTTCAGAGCTCCCGTGTCTGAACTCTTAATTGGTTTGAAATGATCAACTAAGAAAGATGCTTCCCATGTAACAGAATCTTTTGTTAATGGACAGAAAATTAACACAACTAAAAAAACACTTAGTCAAACAGCAAAAGAGAACAGATAACTGTTAAGGATATTAACATGCACATAGTCTTTTAATTAAGGGGAAAAGCCCAAAGGTCAAATTCTATTCTAAATCCTGCTTCCTCAGAATCCTGGAGTAGACAGTGAAAGAAGTCTTGTTTCAGGAAAGAGCTGGCCCAAGAATCATGATACTGAATCTAATCATCTTAACATATTTCAAACAGGAAGGAAAGTCAGTCATGTGTGAGAAGCTTAGCAATGAGCAATAGCTGAAGAACCTGTATTCCCATAAGGAAAACCTGGGTTCGTCACTGTTTCGTTTCTTTCTTTTTTTAAATAACTCTTCACAGAAAAATGGAAGTGAATCTAGCCGCCCACCATCGTTTAACTTTCCAGGTTCCTGTTCACATGTTTACTCTGTAGACCTCACTTCCTCTGAACATCAAAACTCATGACAGCTATTAAAACCAGACAGCAGTGCAACACTGGAAAGTTAAAAATATCCCTGGGGCCGAGCTACCTCTTATGAAGGACAGCTTTCATTTACTCTTATCGTATATTTAAAAATGGAATCATCCATTATATTTCCCTTTTATGCCCTCTCATTCTGAAATGTTCACTTTTTGACCCCCCAAAAACAGTACTAGAAGGGAGCTACTGTAGTACTAGTGCACATCATGACATGACTTCTGTTAATCGATTTGCCATTTGACACTATGGAAGATCCTCTCATCTGCTAAATACAGATTTAGCATCATTTTGATGAGTGATGCATCTCTCATTGACATATCTGCATTCTCCTGGACACTTAGTCCGTCCTACAAGTCAATGTATCAAAGCAAGGTGAGGATATCTTGCTCAATCAAACCTACAGTAGGCAATCCTGCTGGTCGATCGCACT